CAGATGGTCAGATTAGAAAGAACATCGGTGGATTGACGAATCGATAGACAATCACACAGACGGACAAAACAAAAAAAAAAACTGTGTAAGAAAAAAGTTTCCTCAGCTTCACACACATCAACAAACACAAATAAAACAGTGGGATGAAACAGGAGTCCCTTCGTTACCAACCCAGTGATCTGCAGCCTGATCACATCACCAACACCTCAGGGTTTGTTTTTGTTTTGTGTTTTTGTCCTACCTGCACACTTGGTCCTGGTGATCAGAGCTGGTCCAGGTTTTCCCGTCCCTCCCTCTCCTGGTCTGGTCAGCAGGACTCTGATCTCGTACTCTGTGTCCGGGTCCAGGTGCCATAACTTGTAGTTGGGGGAGTTGACGGCGTGAGTCTCCGTCCAGGTGCCCGACGTCATGCGGTATTCAACCTGAAGGTCAAAGGTCACTATTGTTACGTCTGAAGGGACAGACGGGGACACCGGTCTGAGACTTGGACTCCAGTCCACTTAAAGCAGCACAAATAAAGCCCGACTTGACCTCAAAGGACCAACAAGGAGTGTATGGTGGCGAGTTCATCCACTCCAGATACAGCTAACAGTTAATCCTATACCAGTAGGTGGCAGCGATGCAGCTCAAAGGATGCCGATACAAATGAGAGAAAATTAAAGGTGGTTCAAAAGGAGGTGAGAAACTTGGAATTTAACTTCGCAACTTTGTGCTCAATAGCACCATCTACAGGGAGGGGACGACTACCTGCACTATTATTTACTTATGCTACTTTTTTTCTTTTTAAAACTCAGCTAAGCTGTTGCCCAAACCTTTTATTATTTTTATTATTATTAACAGGTCAAGGTCATATAAAAAAAGCTTTATTCGATTTTTAAATATTTCTTTACAGCTCATATCAAGTTACTGCTCCCAGTGTCCGTCACGACACGGTTCATCACAGAACCTACCTCCTTCAGGATGATGGGTCCGTCTCCAAATATGGAGTTGGCGTTGAGCTGGATGAGCAGGTACGTTGGGCCGACGCCCAGCAGCTGAGGTGGAGCGATGGGGTGTGGAGGCTCTGGGGAGAGAAGAGTCCGGTCAGAAAAGATCGGGTTTTAAAAAGTGCCCGACAGGATGAATGGATGAGCGAACAACAGAAACGAGGTCAGCGTACAGATAAACCCCCCCCCCCCCCCCCGGGGCAGCGACGTGAGAGACGACAGTGACATGTGACACCTTCACAAAGACAAGTACTACCAAGTACTGCATCTGACTCAAAATGAACAGGAGGAGGGGGGGTAGGGGGGGGGGTGAGGTGTAACTGTGTGTAAAACACACCGAGTCCAGGTTTTACCACCGGGGGCAGTTTAATCCCAGCCTTGTATCTTGTTTTTAACTTCCTGACCAATAACAACACAGTAATGCCTCCTCCGTTACAGCCGACTGTTACCAGACAGTCTTCACGTAACAACCAGGTACTTTTATCACCGGGGTTTGAAGCAATCTCGTTTCCTGCTTGGCTGCACTCCACTTTGCTGTGTGGTAATGAACTTAATATAAATGCAAACGTGTCTTTGCTTTTTTTTTTTTTTTTCCTTTTTTTTTTTTTTTTTTTTCCAACCGCCTGACTTCAGAAGCCTTTCACGGGGAAGTGGTTTTAGAAAATGTTATCCACACTGGCTTTTTATCTCTCACATGTTGGACTCTTCTCCAGCCTTTTTTCCTGCTTGATTCAGAGCTGACGGGGTGTTTATTTTGATCTTTGTTTGCACCGAGTGCTTCAAAGGACGCGCGACAACTGATGATGGACTGATGGGAAAAAAGAATTCATGGATTTTAAACCACATTCTGGCTAACGTTTATTCTACCTTTGTATGTGTTTATTAGCTTCCTGTTAGCTTTGTGGTGTTTTGACTTATTTTGGTGTGATTTGAAATTTAAACTATCCTTGCTCTGTAGCGCCCCCATTTTGTGGATACGACTACGGTCCAGTCCCCGCCCCCTACATTTACTGCTATCGCTTTAAAACTTGATTGAAACAAATATAACGAACGGATGATTTTATTCCCAAATATTGAAAATATTAGATTAAATATTAAATAAACCTGACCTATTGCGCCCCCTGTAATAACTCAAAAAAAAAAACCCTGCTTTAAACTATTACTTCAAGCTTCTTTCAGGCTAATTTTATGCCTCTGTTTCAGTCGACTTCATTAAGTTTGTTTAACTAACTAACTAACTAACTAACTAACTAACTAACTAACTAACTAATTCCTATGCCTTTCTGAGACGGATTTTCAGATGTTTTTTTCTTACAGTTTGTCATTTTCTGATGAATGGACACATTCTATGAAACGCAGTTAAAATACCAAACACATTTTTATCATATGTCTGAAAAAGAAAACTCCTGTTAATCTGATAGATGTTTGATGGTTAGGGCCAGATCAAAGCCTGTACACACACACACACACACACACACTCACTCACTCACACACTCACCAACTGATTTGCTTATTCAGAGATGAAACACAAAACTTTAAATTACTTTGCATCAAAGGTTTATCTTTCTGACAGATCCACACACACACACACACACACACACACACACCGTGATCTCTCATATACTGTGCACACACACACACACACACTGTGATCTCTCATATACTGTAAATCACAGTGATTGTATTTACCATCTAATCTGACCATAAACGTGTGTGTGTGTGTGTGTGTTTTTCTGACAGGTTATAATTGTGAATAAATGTGAATCTCAGTGTTTGTGTTACACATCTGAGTGTGTGTGTGTGTGTGTGTGTGTGTGGATCTGTCAGGGAGATACAGCCTGCGAAGCGTCTTTTTAGCCAATGATGAAAACATTAGTTTGACAGCACACGCACACCCACAGAAAAACGCAGACAAACCGGGATAATGAAAGTTGAAAAGCCTTCAAAAAATCCCCCCGACGTCAGCAGTCGGTCGACTCGCAGCACCAACACGTAAACAGAGTAAACAACTCCACCACTGAACAGATAAGAATACCAAAAACATAGAGGAAAAAAAAAAACAAAACAAACAAAAGTAGTAGCTTTTAGCTTACTTTGTGTTAGCATAAATATTTGTACGTTCTCCTTAAAAAAACATCTGTTAAATAAAAGGGGTTCACGTCTGGTGGTAAATTTAAAAAATACATTTTAATCACTCGTCATTTTCTCTTTTGATTGGTTTATTAGTCCATTATTATTAAAATTATTATTATTATTATTATGAATAAGAATTATAATTTGAACATTACTGTTCTCATATTTGTGAAAGTCTGCTGTAACAGGCAGGGGGCGCCAAGCACGTGGTTCCACTGGGAATCAAACCCAAGACTCTCTGTTTTCCAGGCAGGAGTGCTAACTGCTAACTGCTAACCGCTAACCGCTAACTACAGAAGCGCTTATTAATCACATCTGCCATTGGTGGGAAATAACTGTAACAAAACAAGATGGAGACTGAAGTGTGTGTGTGTGTGTGTGTGTGTGTGAATATATAGGCCAAGTGATGTGTGTGATGAACCAGAGGGAAGACTCTCATCTCTGACCAAAGCCTTAATGACACACACACACGTCCACACAAATACACACATAGATAAATAAATACATGCATTAAACATTTAAACACATACATTAACATTAACATAAATCAGTATTTATATATGGAGACAGAAGTTTATATATATATATATATTCACACAACCATGTTGACGGATAAGAAAAAAAAAAAGCTCATTCTAGGCTTTTCAGCCAAATTATAATCTTTATATTTTGTTTATTTAACACCTAAATGTTTTAAACCGTTTTTCTTTTTTTAGATCATTTTAGTTTTCATGCATTTTTCAAAACCTGAATTTTTTTTTTTGGTCAATCAAAATCAACATTTGAGGGCAAGAAAGTTTTATAAAGATGTATGTAGATAAAAAAAAAAAAAATAAAAAAAAATCTTCTAGAATAATAGGTGGGGGGTGGGGGGGATCTGTGTCATCCTCACCCACGATGCACCACTGTCTACAAATGTGCTCATTTCCCTCTGATCCTGACAGCCCTGGGACACAGAGGGAGATCTCTGTCATCTACATGTTATAAATATCAAAGCACCTGTAGCTGCAGCGTCGCACGTCAGAACCTGCCGTGACCGTCCTACCAGCAAAAAATGGTTTGGTTTTGGTTTTTTTTTCTTACCTGAATCAGAGACACGTTTTTGGACAATTCTCTCCCTTCTCCTGTGTTGGTATCCTCCCCCATCTCATTATAAACAAGTACTGAGGTCTTCGCAGTGAAAACATTAGCAATTCATCTTTAACCGAGTCGTCAACGTCCTGCAAGAACTTCAAAAATCTCTGTGTTCAAATAAACATATATTCCCAGTTTCTTTGATTTTTTTTCCCGTGGGATATCTCTGCTAAATAAACATGAGCCTCCTCTGCTTTTACATTCCCACGTGGAGGTCTCTTTCTTACACGGCCATATCCTCCTAACACCCGGCTCTGGATCAATATTCATGATCAGTGATATTCCTCCAGCTCTGGAGACGTCTCATCGGCAGATCGCCATGATGCCGACCTTTCATGCTGACGTCGGCGCCGTACGTGATATTGAACTGGAATCTATTTTCATATATGTAGATCGGTCCTATTCATGTCTGGAAACACACACTCTCTCTCTCACACACACACACACACACACACACACACACACCTCCTGCTGTGCTTGTTCTTCCCACTCAATCAGCTCTTCCATCTTATATTCAAAAAAAGAACCTGAGGAGAAACAAACGTAAACTTCTCCTGTGTTTTTACTTCAGCGGCTCGAACCTGTGACTCTGAAACGACTCATGGCTGTTCTGACCACGGCTGTTCTGACCACGGCTGTTCTGACCCTGTCTGTTCTGACCACGTCTGTTCTGACCACGGCTGTTATGACCCCGGCTGCTCCTAAACTGGTCAGTGTCAGAGCTTTAA